GCTAAACCGCAACATTTACGAACACAAACGCAAAACAAAAAGTCAGTTCTCCCACGGTATCACAGGTATGTACAACACATTAGAAATTACTGACCTCTTGCCATCTTTCCTCATAATCATAACATCACCAATACCTTCAGTTTCTAGGGTATTATCATTTGCGAATTTCACTGTGTTCTTCATCGAGGGTTTTATGTTGACAAACCAATCTTTCCTTCCAAACATGTGTGATGAGCATCCTGAATCCAAGTACCATTGGTCCTTGAATTTTTCTTCATCCCTTGTTGTGACCATTAGCAACATCTCTTCTTCTTCATGCTTTTCCAACTTCGCATCACTTTCTTGATTCTTTCGCTTTTCTGGACAATCATTAGAATAGTGACCATACTTCTGACAATTGTAACATTGAATGTGACTCGTCAGGTTTTCGACCACCACCTTTTCCTCTATTTGCAAAACCACCTCTTTGGTTGCCTTGGTATTGTCTTATCTGATTCGACACATTTTCTTCGTGTTGGTTTCCTCTACTAGTTAAATTGTAGTAACCACCTCTACCTTTATTGTTGAACCACTTTCCTTTGCATTTCTTATCTTTTGTTGATTGATCATGTAAAGGCACATCACTCTTCGACTTGCCTGCAGCTCTTTTCACCATTCTTTGTTTGTGAGATTTAAGCGTCCTTTGAAGCTCTTCCTTCGATAAAGATGACATGTCTTTCGACTCTTATATGGAAACTACCACATGGTGGAATTTCAAAGCTAAAGATCTCAAGATATTTGAAACAATAGCTCTTGTTGTTAACGTCTCTCCACAAACCTTGATTTGATTCACTAGTTTCGTAACCCTAGTGAAGAAATCAGATATGCTCTCTCTATCTTCCATCTGAAGCATTTCATACGTTCTTTTGTGAGTTTGTAACCTCACCTCTTTCACCTTATCAACACCTCCAAACAATCTCTTAAGAATTTCCCAGGCTTCTTTTTCAGATTCAACATCACTAACCTTTTCGAAATTGTTTGGGTTGATACATTAGTGAATTATAAAGAGAGCTTTATAATTCTTCTTCTTCGATTCTCTATATTATGCTTCTTATTCTTCTTAAGCGTCTTCATCAAGCGGTTCTAATCCATGTTTCAAAAGATCCCAAAGACCTTGAAAACATAATATAACCTTCATCTGTTTGCACCAATTCTCATGGTTATCACCTTTAAGAATTGGGAGATTTTTTGGAAATTTTCTGTTAGCGTAATTCATCGCCATCACGATCTTATTCTTCTTCTTCCCGTATCGTTCTTGATCGTTCTTCCCTTGAATCACTCAATCGGAGCTCTTGATACCAAATGTTGGAAATCCACCAATATATATGATGAATTTTCCCATAATTATGAACCAGCATTCCAGGAGGTCCCCATCCCTGCGGGCGCCGATGCCACGACCAGAGCTTTGTTCGCGACCATCAATTAGACAAACTACATGATCTTCTCACAGGATGAGCGGCTGAGGATGCTCGAACAGACTCGTCGGGCCCCCAGAAGACACAAGAGACTTGACACTCCTCCTCCTTTTCAGAATGAAGATTGTCCCCAGTCTCCCCATAGAGACGCATACGAGATAGCTCGTGAAGCCATTCTCTCCGACGCACTGGGAGAGGCCCTGCGTTGGAGAGGCCCCATCCCAAATCCACGAGGATACGCGGTAACACCCTCCCTCACAAGGAGCGGCGATCCCCTGGAAACAATAGAATTAGGAGAAGCAGAGAAGGACAACCTTAGCCGAGGGATATTTCTTGCGGCTAAGGCTGTCACAATGACCGCCATTACAACTGGTCCCCCTCCCTCTCTCCAGACATAAGTGACGAAGATAACCCCCACGGTCCCTTTTCCCAAGCAAACATGGAGGCTTCTATTCCTAAGGGAATGGAGAAGCCTCCCCTACTGAAGGAGTAGGACGAAATTGCAGACTCTATCGACCATATCGACGGGTTTAAAGAAATGCTCCATTACCACAACATCGGGTGACAAATTAAATTTCGGCTGCTCCCCATGACCCTGAGAAAAACAACCATGGGCTGGTACATGAACCTCGCCCCAGGGTCAATCACCTCCTGGAGGAGCCTCAAGAACCAGTTCATCAGCTCCTTCACCGTATCTCGTAGACATCCAAAGGCTGAGGCCGCCCTTGAGGAAATCGTCTAGAGAAGCAACGAGACCCTCAGGGAATACATTGATCGGTTCAACCGCGAGGCCATTCAGGTCCCGTGTATTGATCACATGAAATGTACCTACTTAAGAGAGGAATTGGACCGAGGCGTGTGAGCTGGTGAGGCTTCACTAACCTTTTGTGGTTCTTTTTCTCCTGGGTCAACTTCAAAAGACGCTTATGATGTTCGACTATATTACCTGCAAAAACAAAAATAACACACTCGAGTCAGCCTCGCTATAAGGACATACACAAAATAAATTAATAGAAAAAATACAATAGAGTTGCGCAGGCAGATACCTAGAAGAGTCGCAGCTTTCCCGTAGGTTTTACACTTAACGAGCACCTTGGTGTTGATCAGGCGCGCCTCGAATGTAGGTGGTCCATCTTCCTCGAGCACGTCATCTCCTCCCCTTGTCAACCACCTCGAAGGGAAGAAACCATCGACGAACCTATTGAGAACGTCGAAGGCCTCTTCGTCCTCGGTACTCATGGTTCCAGGAGAAGTATGGTAATGGCCAGGGCCATGCTCGTAGTGACCTTGACACCAATGTATGGGGAAATTCGAGAGTCTCCCTATATCTTCGTCCCCATTCTCGTCATAGCACGGTTCCCCGTCCTCATCTATGAGGGAAACTGCATTGAACACCGAGTCCACCGCCTCTTGTAACGAAGGTTGCACGACGTATCACTTATCTTTAAAATCACAGACATAGTCCACGTACATCCGGGACAACCTCTTCGATTGTTTGAAAAAAACCCAACTATGTTTTCTTCCCCTAGACTATCGTTGGAGATGGAAAACTCTGAAGAATAAGGGAATCATCGCCCCGATCCTCAAGTAGCAACAAGTGATCTCGAAGGCCCGTATGAAAGAAATCACATTGGGATGCAGTTGAGAAGACGCCAGGGACAAATGATTAAAAACACCCATCTGAAATTTATTGAAGGGCAGACGAAGCCCCATATCTCTGAAAACAATTTCGTACATAGGGAAGCGGTCTTCCTCGAAAGACGAGCATATTCTAGCCGTGGGTGTCGGCCGCAGGATTGTGAAATTCCGCTGAAAACCCTCGAGGTCGCCACCATATTCGATGACAATATATGCTTCCCTCCTCGTATAGCTAAATATCGAGGCTATCCCTCGGGGTTATGGCCCGACCCAGGATAGTGAGAGATCAGCGACCGTGTTGATCAGTTGGACACCCTCATCGGCTCCATTTATTCCTTTTACATTGATCTGCTTGGAGGAATCGCTTAGTTCAACCATTTCACCTGTAAAGCAGAGGAAACCAGTGAATTAGATAGCTAATTAAATCCACCCTTCCACCGCAACACAAGTGAAAGGGGATTGCTACGACCAAACCAGGTCGATGAACCCTCGTGCAGTGAGAAACAAGTATAACTCATAAGCGCCACGAGGAGCTGATATGCGCCTCAAACAACCGCACGACGGTGACAAAGAAAAAATGAATATTCATGAGCATCGCGGGTATGAGGTAAACCCTCCGAGCAAATTCATGAATTTTGCGGTGAATATATGAATTTGTCGAGAAAAATCATGAATGTTGCGGGTAACAATGAATTTCACGGAAAAATTCATGAATTTTGCAGGGAGCAGATGTGTTTCACGGGCCCATTCGTGACTGTTACGAAGGGATGTATGAATACCCGAGTAAAAATCCCCCGGGTAGTGAAATTCATCAAAGATTTATCGAAAAGCCAATCATAAATAATAATCAATACTGGAAAACACTTACTTGATCAAAGTAGGTGTGAAGTCCGTAGCAGAGGTTGTGACAGTGTTAGAGGTTGGAGAAGATAACAAACAATGTAAAACCAAAGGCAAGAGAGAGAGAGAGGGGGGAGAGAGTGAGAATTGGAATGTGGCAAATGAGCCCTAAGGCACTATTTATAGGGATGGCACGAAAGACGAAGTGTCGCGTCGGAAGACACGCCAACCGCCCTTCTCCTCGCCGCCTGCGCGCTCAGGTCATAATGACCCCTACTCTCTAGGCCATAATTTCTATTCAAAAGGCTATGCCACGTGGCTACATCCTGCGAACTTTCCTCTTCCTGCGAGTCGAGGAACAACTCAAACGTTCTCCATAAAGCTAATTCCAACCTCTGCTCGAGTAACCCCACATAATGGTGACCCCATCCTTCGACGTAGTGAAAAACCCCCGACTAAGTTATGCTCGTCGTACGGAGAAGTTGGATTTAAGTCATAACTTTTTCTTTGTCAGGAGCAACGACTTGGGGGGTTCTTGTTCTGGACTGGGCCTGCACTTGGCCCAGTCCTTATACAAGGCCCAATCCGATAGTGCTACATGAGAAAGCTTGTTGACAGAATCTACCCTCGACTATGTCGAGCAGTAACCTCACTCTCATAGTCGACCTAACTTTGTCCTACGGGGATAAGCCCATGAATGGCGAGGAAGACCAACAACGGACATAAGAACCTTGCGAGCATCCTTCACTCTTCTGGTCGACCAAGACAAGTCCTCTGGGGACGGCCAAACATCTGGCGAGGAGGGTCCATGAAGACAGAAGGACCTCGCGAGCATCCTCCTCGTAGGGCTGACTCTCAACATCCCTGAATATCAGAGTCCTCTTGGCTCCGAAAAGACTGCATCCATATCCTCCTGATAGTTCAGAGGAGTCAATCCAGGTTGGGGACCACATGCTGGCCCCACTACACACGTAGGACATGACAATCTCCATTTTGCGCCTGCTTGCCCAGCCCAACGATGGGGATCTTGGCCCAACGCTGAAGGCTATAAATACCCTCTCACTTGAGATGGTCAGGTATTCAATCTCTCATTCTTACTCTCATACTTACTTGCATTTGCTTTGAACCTCACTTTAGTATCAGAGTGTCTTGCAGGTATCTTTCATTTTATTTTCAATTGTTGCTCGACTCAAAGCTCGTGGACTTTGACCATTTCTTCTGGTCAGGTACGATCATATTCCCTTTTATATACTCTTTCCATTTCTTTATAAGTGTCATTTTTGTAAAAAAAAATATTTTTATTTAATTGTCGTTTTCAAGTTTTAAAGTAGTAATCATTATAGTTTTGTTAAAATTATTTATAATTATTTATTATTAAAAAGAAAAATATATATTAAAATAATTAAAAATTAAAATATTATAAATAGAAGAAAAATCATAGTTTAAAAAATAAAACAATTATTAATTTTTTTGATATATATAAAAAGTGACCATTAAAAAGCTATAGACGGAGTAGTAAGTAGATATATATTGTTGAATAAACAAAATAGTTTTAATTCATCTGAGTTTGCAAAGTTTAAGATCATCAAATCGTTTAACATCGAAGCCGCCACTGTAATTCAAGTACCCCGCTGGTTGGTATTGTCAGTTTTTCATTTCCTCTTCACCGTTCATCTTCTTCCTACTGTAATTCTTCTATCTCGTGTCCATTTTTGTTTTCGTGAAATGCATCTGATGCAGCCGCGATCGCGCCGCCATTTGAACGAGATCAGAACTCGATATTACTATTACACATTATGTTTTCCTCTCAAATGTTCCTTGTTTCGTGTAATCAAGTTTTAATGAAGTTCAATTGTTCAAATTAGGGTTTTCAGATTCTCGAAGAGGCTTTTGGGATTTGGGATGGCAGCGATTTATAGTCTTTACATCATCAACAAGTCTGGTGGATTGATCTACTACAAGGTTCCATTACTTGCAACTCTGTATTTTAAATTATGACGGCACCATATGGAAGATTTTCTGTTTTTTTAATTAGAACTATGATTTATAATTTGTTAAACTTTTTTATATTTAGGATTATGGTTCAGCTGGACGAATGGATACAAATGATACCTTACGAGTGGCTAGCTTATGGCATTCAATGCATGCCATCTCTCAGCAGTTATCACCTGTGTCAGGTTGTTCAGGAATTGAACTACTCCAAGCTGACACTTTTGATCTCCATTGCTTCCAATCTCTAACAGGTATTATTTTAAATTGAGTAACTCATTTTCAAATTCACATGGTGAATATAACATCAAGAATGAAGGCCACACATCATTTGCATATTGATGATTGAAATATCATCTATCTCATACAAACATTTGAATTTTGTCCGCACCAGTGTATATGTAACGCTATATAATAATTTCCCGTACATACCCTTGTTTAGATTTTAGATTTTGATACAACATATAATAATTCATTCTTCTCTCCTACAGGCACGAAGTTTTTTGCAGTATGTGAGCCTGGCACTCAACAGATAGAAAGTTTATTGAAATTTGTATACGAATTGTATACGGACTATGTTTTGAAGAACCCTTTCTATGAGATAGAGATGCCTATTCGATGTGAGCTGTTTGATATCATCCTAACTCAGTCAGTACAAAAGGATCGTGTTGCGCTGCTGGGTCAATAAATTGCTGGCCAAGGCCAATTTTCTCTATGACTGTCTTGTAAGAGTTGCTACTCTGTTTTGTTGTATCTGGTCTATGTATTGCTTACAGATAAACTATTTAAGATTCAAATATATGAGATGAGATTCATCATTTCCTACCATGTTTTCCAATACAAATGAGGTAGGTATGTGTCTATATGTAGATAACCATCTACTTGGCCATATTTTCTTAACCTATATGCAATTTGTTTTAGATATGATGCTAATGGGACATATTAAAAGAATGGAAGTAGTTTGGTTGTGCAATTACGAGTTTGTAAGGTGGTTAGATTGTCATTCATTATAGTGAGTTTTTTTTTTTTTTTTTTTAAATTCGGTATCTTGCTCTAGGACCAACTAATCCGAGGAGGCCAATCCCACCTTCCACTTGTGGGGACCACATTTAAAGCGAGAGCAAAGCTCTGTATAGACTGGCCCCTACACATGAATTGTTAGCACCTAGCGGGATTCAAACGTGAGACCTTGAGAGGAGCACGTTCTCAGGTCTCAAGCCTTCACCAACAGGTCAATCCCTGGGGTTTAGTTAGTTAGTAAATGAACCCAAAGTTTATTAGGATTGTGAATTGAGTTCCAAACATCCTCACCAAAAAGAGAAATATCAGTGGCTATAGCATAATGAGTACCAAGACCTCCCTGATTTCTAAGAGTACATGTTTACCAATTCACCCATTGGCTAGACTTGCTACCCCATATGAACAGTCTCACACTTCTGTCAGTCTGATGACAAATACTTGTTTACAGCGACATATTCTGCATAGAATAAACTGACATAGAAGTGATGATAAACTTGGCAAGGGTCACTTTGCCAGCTCTATTAAGAAGCCTACTCTTCCAATCTGCACGCCGATCATTGACTTTATCAAGAATGTAGAAAACTTCTTGCTTTCTAATGAAGGCAGACAACAAATAGGACCTCGTTGTTCTCTCCTATTTGATGTTTTATACAGAAAAAAATCACTGAAATTAAAATAATAGACAAATGAAAAACTAACAAAATGACTGCAATTTGATTTATGAATGCTATTCTATGGTGGCTCAAGTTGGTCTGTGGGCTTAGAGCTAACTTATCCAAGAAGTTCTAACTTCTAACTGTATATCACTGCGGATCTTGATGTTGTGATGCAATTTCTGGTAATTCTAGTTGCCACTTAGTGTAGTATTTCTATCATCGACTATGTCGCTTGGCATACTTCTAGTGTGTTTTCTGATTCCATCATTGAGGTTTAAAGGTGTTTTGGAAATATTTTCCTATAATGCTTAAAGTTGTTTCTGATTGATGGAGGAAATTGTGTAGTTCTTACTTCCCGTTTCTCCAAAATTGTGATGGTGTTGTTGTTGCACATTGTAGCTTGTAATTGTTTGTTTTTATACTGGAACTGCATATTACTCATGATGTCTTTGAACTTGGTTTGTAATTTCTTAATGGAAATCTATGGTAATTGCCATATGTATGAGTCTATAGAAAGCCACTAAAGCTGGACCTTCTTCTTCTGTCAATTATGGCTAGTTATGAGCAAAGCAACAAGTTTTGGATTTCTATTCTATGCCCTATCTCTATTTTGTTGCCGCATCCTTTTGAAGTATAGTTACTTGTATATCTACTAAGAAAGCATTGTGTGGGAATTGCAAGTTTGTGGATTTGTTCTCTTGATTTGTTGGCTATTGCAATTGAGCATGAAGAACTTATAATTGAGTGCATGAAAATGGATTTACAAGCTCTTACTGTTATTGGTACTGCACAGAACACTGTTTTTTTGGGTTGTGGTTTATAAACATGTCCCCTCCTTACATTTGTGTGATGTTAGCATGTGTTGCTGCTGTATCATTTTATATTCCTGTTGGAATAATCAGAGATACGAAAAGTGTTAAACATGCCATTTCAGCAATTGTGCATCTGTTAACACCTGCATCTGAGGTATGGGGTTTGATAGGTCCTTAAAGAATATTTGGAATCTAGGACATTACTCAATCATCAACTGTTTTTTTCTTGGCTGGTGAATAGATGTGCTCTTAAGAGCATTATCCGAAATGCCTCCAGCTACACCAGTTAACTACACTAGTTGGGTTCTTGTTGGATTTGCCTCAGGATTTGTTGCTTACCATTACTATTTGGTTGTAGATCATCTTGCAAAACAAGTGTTTTGGGTATGTGCTTCACTTTGTTTTGTTGTTCACCCTTTTATGGCTTGGTTTTAGCTTCCTTTTATGATAGTTTAGCATGATGCTTCTATCATGAATGGTTAAGCTTTGATGTTTTGCTTCTGTCTTGAGTAATCGTGTGCTCTTGCTTCTTTAGCTTTCTCTCTTGTTTTCAATGGATGCCATGTTTCATAACAAATAGTTTTATTGGGGTTAATATGGATGACTTGCAAGAGGCATAAGGCACATACTTGGAAGTCAATGCTAGTTGTTCTCTAACTGAAGCTTGATTAATGGCATAATAGGTATGTTAGTCTTGAGTGGAGAGTATTCTTAATTTAATTATGCTCAGAAACCAACTTGTTTAGGTGGCAAAGAGTCCCCTTTGGGAATAGTCTTTGTTTGACAATTTCCTCCATTTATTGTCTTCTGTCCACTTACCATGAGCAGAGGATGTCTCTGTTGGGATTGTAAATTTAAAGATGCTTTTCAGAGCTCATCTATTACTAGTTATATTCTATGACAACAAATTGTATGACCCCATTCCTTGGTTTATCCAAACGCATATTGGTTGTCAAGTTACACTACATGAGTACTAATCAAGTGGAATATTATCCAATCACTAATTTCCACATTAGCTAATTGACAAAAAGATAAGTTAACAAGCAATGATTATTCTTTTCACACGCGTGGGAATACTATAGGGCCACTATGCAAAATTAACTTTACAACAGAAACATTAGATTACCATTCCTACACTTTAATTATATTCAAGAACCTCATAGCTAATAAGCTTGCTGTTGGAATCTTGTTTACGTGTAAAATAACAGATATATTATGATCCTTTACATGTTGAAAAAGTTGAGCATGTGTGATGCAAATGCTGTTGCTCCTGCTTTTGATTCCACAGATAGATAGATACTCTTTCACGTGGTAAGATAATATTACTATAAGTTTATATACTATTTCCTTAATTAAAACCTTATCCTACACTAGTCTCTAATGCCATACAGATTACAATTTTAAAATAAGGAGGGATTTGGATTCCAAACATTTGCACAATCTCACATGTAATTGTCGAATTAAATGTCTAATTAGCATAACTAACTCGTAGCGTCCAAATTCTGCCTAATGATTTCTTGGCTCTTAACAGTTTAAAAGAGGAAAAGATAATATAAACTCCGAAAGTAATGAAGAAAGATGGTTGGTTGGGGTATGCATGTGCAGGAGTCTAGACTAAAAGATTTTCGGGTAGGAATCCCAACAAGAACCAGCGCATGTGCACTTTGATTTGACACTTGTTTTATGCCTTTAAGGGAGAGAAAAAGCCCCCACAATGTATGTGCATGTTTTAGTCACTAAATGATGCTTATATATAGAGAACCCTTAATTGCATTCAACATCACATCAAAACAAACAAAACTATACATTGCCCTGTCTAACAAAGAAAAACATTCAATGACACCTGTTTTGCTAGTTATTTTGTTTTTTCTCTTTCATTGAAGTGCATTTTCATGGTCTCACTGCCAACTATGGTGGTTGGCAGAATGGTCATGCCACCACTTTCTATGGCGGTGGTGATGCTGCTGCCACAATGGGTGAGTTTCAAATCTTTTGAAGTATCGGTTTAATTATATTGGAGAACTGACTTAGATGACTTAGATGATTGTGTTTATTATCTATGAAATACGAACACTGAAAACACAACATCAATACTAACATCTCTAAACTAGTAATAGTTTTTAAAAAAAAAAATTAAAAATAATCACAAGTCTTAGTGTCGATTTCAAACATCAATTATCACTAAGACATGTTTTTTTCTCAAAGAGTTTACTCAATATGGTGCGAGGCTAGCACCATTGTTGTTACTGCCACAAACTTTGGTCCCCCAAATAGTAATGGTGGTTGGTGTAATCCTCCACTGCAACACTTTGATATGGCAGAACCAGCATTTCATCAAATTGCTCAATATAAAGCTGGAATTATGCCTATAGCTTTTAGAAGGTATGTGAAAGCCATCAATTTGGTAATATTTTCTTGCTTCTATATTAATGTATCAGATTTTTATTCAATATTCTTTTGGTTGTTTATTAGAGTATGTTTGAATTAAGTAATTTAAAATTTTTAAGAAATTTAAATTTTTTAATAATTTAATTGAAATTCATTTATTTTTAAATTCTTTTGTTTTAATAGAGTATTAAAATTATTCATTGTTAAATTTTTTAGGTTATTTTAATAAATTTTTAAATTTGTAAGTTACATTTAAAATATTTAAAAAATAGAGACCTATTTATAATTTTTAAATAAATTTAAAAGAATCCATTTGTAAAACTTGAAAATTATTAAAGATTAATTTGCAATTTTGAAGAATTTTAAGAGTCAATTAGCAAAATTTAGAAATTACGAAGACCAACTTGTAAAATATTAAAAAATAATAATAATTTGATATTCACTTTCTATTAACTATGAGAAGAATTTTAAATTATTTAATTTTTTTTGTAAAATTTTAAAATCATCAAATTTAATTTGTAGAAATTCATAAATTTTCATCATTTTATTAATTCTTACTATTTTCTTTTATCTAAACAACAAATTTTGTCAAAATAATTTTTAATTTTTAAATATTAAATTTATAATATATTTCTGATTCAATAAATTATAGAAAATACTATTTATTATAAAAATCAAATGAAAGAAAGTCAAAAATTAAACTAACCCTGACTCATGTTCTATTAAAAAGTCAAATTTATTGACTATCCAACGTAGAGTTAAGAATTAAAGAAAGAGCAAAGAGAAGAAGTCTTTTGATAGTCTTTTGGTAG